CTAGTATAGTTTGTATAACTAAAAATTGATATAACTAGTATAACTGATATATAAATGTTATAATTCATGTACAATATGCAACTACTATAATTGAAACGACTAATAATCATATTCGAAGTTTTTAATTTTTTTGTTAAATTATTACGTTACACTCTAAATTTTACATTATATATATATATATATATTATAGTTAAGGTTTGTTAAGTAAATTAGCTATATTATTTTGAAAATATTGGTACAACTTCTAAAATTAAACATATAAACAATTGATATAATTGTTATAATTTTTTATTATATATTAGACGAGTATTATTGGTACAACTGGTACAACTTGTACATTTCAAAAATTGGCAAACCAATTTGATATTCCATATGAGAACACTATCAAATATCCAAAATGGTATGTAGTCAGATTTTTTTCTCCTAATATATTTGAAATTTTGAAAAAAAAATTGAAAGTTATTACACAACTCCATAAGTTTATATGATATATACCTTATACTTTTAAGGTTTGTTAACTTCTTTGTCCACATATTTTTGGGAAAACATATATGAAATGCATTTTAATAAAATCGATGATCTCAAGGTATTGGGCGAAGACATATATACACATAAAAAGGTGGTACAACTGAGGTAAGTTTAAATTTCATATGGTACAACTAGTTTTTTTTATTTCACTGTCAAAGTACAACTATGTACAAACCGGTATAACTAAAAAACTAGTACAACTATTTACAAACTGGTACAACTAAAAAACTAGTACAACTATGTACAAACCGATACAACTCAAAAACTCTTACAACTATTATATTGTTACATTAGTTTTACATTACATACCTTATATTTAAAGGTTTGTTAATTAGATTAGCTATTTTTTTTTGTAATTATAACACAATCATATAAGTTTGCATAATCTACCTTATACTTTTAAGGTTTGACAATTTCTTTGTCCACATAACTTTTGGAAAACATACATGAAATGTATTTTAATAAAACTGGTGATTTCATTGTATTAGGGCATATGCATGTACACATAAAGAAGTGGTACAACTGAAGTAAGTTTAAATTTTATGTGGTACAACTAATTTTTTTTATTTCACTGCCGAAATACAACTATGTACAAATCGGTATAACTCAAAACTAGTACAACTATGTACAAACTAGTACAACTATAATACTAGTACAACTATGTTATTTCTTTTTGTATTGTGCATCATGTTTAATGTGTATCATGTTTTAATCATTATAGTTGAATATTAAGATGAGTAGTTTTACTAGTTATCTCCTCCTCATTTCCAACTGCCCCTTCATTTTCAACTGCATCCTTCTCAAGCTTTTTTTTGCAGTTACAATCATCCTTATTTGATTCCTCAACCGATATGGCATCACTCATGTCCTATATCATCTACAACAAAACATAGTAACAGGCAAATCATGTAAACATAAATAAGTGGCATCACTAAGGTAACTGTATAATTATATGATGCAATACAATTAGTACAATTACTGTCTTCTTCGACTTCGAGATTAAAGATGATTTAAAAATCAGTACAATTAGTACTAGTAGTATAACTAGTCAAATAAATAACTATTTAGATTAAATAATATAAAAAATATCCAACAAAACTCCAACAAGTCTCAAATATTAAGTATAGTATAATGAGTTAGTCCAAAAAGATTACATTCAAAGATAACAAGACAACTGATCACATTACAAATCTTAAATGATCATATATTAGAAGAGTATTACTGGTAAAACTAATATAACTTTGACATTTTAGAAATCGACAAAACCAATTTGGTATTCTATACGAGAAAACAATCAAATATACCAATTGATAGTTTCAAAAGCTATAAAAAAAAGTCTAACATCAAAAGAAACATATCTTTAAATACCAAAATGAACATAACTTATATAAAGAACTTAAGTTTTCAAAAGTAACTCCAAAAGCTATTAATTTGGCAGGAAGGGAGAGCTTAGTTTTTACTGATGCTCTCTTCTTATTTTTCTTTCCGTTGACTCTTTTTTCTAAAACTATGGTTAAGGACTTTTCTAGTTCTGTATCAATTTTTTTCGAAAATAGTACAACTAGTATAACTAGTACAACTTGTAACAAATCATTAAATCCAAAACAAATATTATTAAAAACATACACTTCATGTATTTGACACATGCATGAGAGGGAATATTAGACTAACATTTTTATTAGTTTTACATCATACTCTTTTCTATTATCTTCATACATTGAAAACAAAATAAAGATCACTATATTAATTGCAAAGTTATATTAGTACTAGTTATACTCAATCTATTTGTACTAGTTATACTCGTTGTAGTTTTACTAGTTAGAGTTGTACCAGTTGTACTAGTAATACTCTGCGTTATTTTTTTTTTTGATTCTAATACGTAAATGATGAAATTTGATTCTGGGTAAGATATAATTGATTAAATATGAATATGGGTAGTTCAATTTGGGATAAAGATAAAATAATTGGTGGATGGTTGAAGAAATTTTTTGATTTTGTTTGAAAGTGAAAAAACTATTGGAAGAGAAGAAAGGAGTAAGAAGAAGAAGATTTAAGATTAGTTGGGTCGGATTTCGGATCTGAATCGGGGTCGGATTCTGGGTAGAATAGTAAGGGTATGGATTCGTAAATATATTGAAATCTTTAAGTTTTTTAGTTATTTTAGCTAGATTTCTATTTAAAATTAAATGTAAAATAAAATAAAATAAACATGGGTCTATTTGAGATTTTTTTTGTTCCCCTTTGGTTTATTCTAGCATTTGATCCATATTCTCCGGAGAATGGTACTAGCGAATGAGGCTAGGAGCAGAAGATTTATTTTCTTCTTTATATTTACCAGACATGGTCACATAGAAGTGTTATATGGAGTAACTCGTCTAACCAAAACTTGATCTAAGAAAATGGGCAGTCGACAAAAAAAAAGTAAAGTCATTAAACTAGAGCCTAGGTCTGATCTTCTATAATACCTTGCTAATGAAGACAATCCATGAACAATACATTTGGGATTACACTATGTACACATTATTTTTTAAACCCATCCCTCTCTTTATATCTCTTATATTTCGTCTTTCGGTGTGGGGTCTTATCTCCCCATGCATGAGATTCGGTTACAACTCTGATCTCAATGTGAAAAAATAACATATCATAATCGCAACTGTAATAATGCAGACTGTGCATGTTCAACAGTTTCAGTTTGTTGGAAAAGAAATAACGAAACCGCACGAGTGAAACGAAAGGACAAACCATTAATCATAATTTAAACCATCGTGATGTACTTTAGCATATAAAAAACTTGCCCATCTCATATAAAAAACATGACATTTAATATCTACTAGATCTTGACCCGCGCAACCGCGCGGGTGTTTGTCTTCGTTTATGTTATATAGACATTTTGTTTTTACTTCTGAATTGATATATATTATAGTAATCACACATATGAGATGTGTATATTTTATATTTTTAAACATGATAATATTATAGTATACTTGTTTTCATCAAATAGATTGTTTCAAATTTTCATGTGTTTGTTTCTTCTATAATTTTTTGTTTGTTGGATTAATATTTCATTATTAAATAAATAAATAGAAACAAAACTCGATAAAATAGTATAGTATTATCATCTGCAAAGATAATATCTTCGTAATATTTCACAAAATAAGAAAGTTTACCAAAAACTAAAGTTAAAGCTTCATATATTAATATTATAAAGAACATAATTAAACATTTAATTTCGTTTTTTTAAATGTTACATCAAATGTTAAAAGTTAACAACAAAAATGTTTTTATAAATTACATATGAAAGTATACTATTTAACTCTCGAATTATATACAGTTAATTTAAACATATTTCTTATAATACTATATATTTATAAATCCAGTGGGTTAAGTATTCTGGAAAATAAAGTTATTGTAGGGCCAATATGGCTGAAGGAAAAGATTTGTGATGTCGAACTCGAATATAGTCTTAACATCGGTATATATAGTTGGTAAATTTGTTAGGGTATTATAGAGTGAACATTCTGAGAAATCTATCATTAAATATTATGTGTGATCAGTTTAAAGAAATAGCAACTTCTTAGATATTATGAGTATACTTGTTTTCCAAGTAAATTTTTCTTTTTAATTTGATCACAAAAACTGTTGCTAGTTCTCAATTTAATTCTGATGGATAAAGATATAAGATAAATTTAATTTTGAATTTGATCACAATCTTTTAGCTGGTTCGAAATTTACAATCGGTACTGCTCAAGATATGTATAATGTTGGGACAATTGGCTAACCGGCATTATAAACTTGGTCAGAACGATTTATGAACTAATAATATTGAAAATGTTAAATGATAGCATTTCAAAGTCTTATTACAAACTTTACACTAAAAGATAGCATAAAATGGTTTATGCAAAAATCACGTATATATTGAAGGTCTATAATTATTTGAATCAACATGAGAGCGAGATTATCCCAAAAAAAATTTGGACCAAACCGTTCCTATAATTTTATAATGCTAGGTTCGGGTGCTGTATATTTATTAGTGTTTAAGTTCATTTTATTTGTTGCACATTACAATTTGGTCAAAATTGATTTACGGTATATGCCGGTTATCAGTTACTGATTTTTAGGCGTATTTATTACATTATAGTTTCGACAGAAGGTATAATTTTAGTAATGTATTTTAATGATAAGATTAGATAGTTAATATAACATGATTTTCTAGTGATAGTTCATTTTTAAGAAAATCACACATGAATCAAAGTCATGACTTCTCTTTTAATATATAAGATATGGACCTTAGATTCTTTTCTATCTAAGCTCTGCAATAAATCATCTATATATACACATGTCCTTCACCATTGTCGTTGTCATCGTCAAACCATCTCTATCTCTTTATTCATCATTATTTATTTCACCTCTCCTTCTATATTTTCAAAATGAAGAACAAGTTCATAAAAGCTTGTGAAAACAAATTCAAAACCATGAAGAGCAAATCCATAGTCATACCATGTTGTTCATTTTCCTGTGAGAGTTGCGGCGAGAAAGAAAATGAAGCCATACCTAAAGATGTTCCAAGAGGACACTTGGTAGTGTATGTAGGTGATGATCACAAGAGGTTTGTGATAAAGATGAGTTTTCTTAACCATCCTATATTCAAGGCATTGCTTGATCAAGCTCAAGATGCTTATGACTTCAGTTCTGATTCATCAAAACTATGGATTCCATGCGATGAGAACACTTTCCTCGATGTAGTTCGTTGCAGTGGGGCTCCTCAGCATCACAGGAACTGCACTGGCATGTGCATGTAAGAGTGAAGATGCTCAATTGATTTTGATTTATCATCTGTGGATCTATGTTTCTAGAGAGAATTCTGCTGGTTTAGATCGTATTGTAATAAACTGATTAAGTAAAAAGAGTCGTTTATAAGTGTAATTGATAATATACAGGTGTAAAGTAAGAGACTAAACATGCAGCATATACAAATGTTTCAACATTTAAGCTCTGGCACAGAATTTTTTTTGTCTCTCACACATCTCAAGACATAAAAGCAAAACTTTTAAGACACGGTTGCCTCTGTTTTGTGTCATTCAAACTCTTGTTTTATGGAGTTACTGTCAGAAAATCTAAAATTCATCAAATAAGTTTGCAATTTCTATTTCATATACTGATATATATCATACAAAGTGACACCATTCGCATTACAATTATTCACTGGTTACACATTCGACTCAAACATATAAAGAACAAAAATAAAAAGCAAAAGCAATTAGAAAACAGAGCAAAACAGAGGAATGCTATCTTAGCATATCGGAATCGGAGCTCCGTTCCATTCCTTGAGACAATCCATCAATGGATCAATAATCTTACCTTCACACATTGCAGTGAACACCTTATCAAACTCCTCTCCCGGGGACACAACCTTTTCTCCGGTCAACAACTTCGTTCCAAGCTCCTCCCTCACGAACTTATACAATGGATAAGACCGACACTCCGTAATCCTGTTCGGAATCATCGAGCTTCCATTACCGTAAGCCTCTCTAGCCGCATCAACTGCCTTAGGAAGAACCATCTTTAGCTCCTCCTCAAAAGCTCCAATCTTTTGAAAGATTGAAGTCTCTGCATTCTTCTCACTCTCACCGTTGGCTAAAGCGTGATCAACAATGACTTGTCTTAGCTTCTGCATCAAAGGGTAAGTAGCGCTACAGGGGTCATCAACGTAGGTGAACACTTGCTCACGATCAACCACCTTAAGCAAGTCTTTCTCACAGAAACGTGAGGGATGAGTCTCCCCGTTGACTCCAGTGATCAACACTTTCTTCGCCACTTGAGAAACAGTGTTCTTCACAGTCTGTCTCAGATTCTCCTCAAGATGCCTCAAGTCAACAGCTTGACATATAGCAACAAGGAAAGTCGTAGACATCAGCTTGAGAATGTCAACAGCTTCTGAAGTCTTACGAGACGAGATGAGTCCTAATGAGTTAACATCTTGGTTATGCTGTTCAGCTGATTGAACATGAGTAGTAACTGGATTCGCTAAGTACTGAAGCTCAGAGCAGTAAGAAGCCATAGCTATCTCTGCTCCTTTGAACCCGTAATCCAAGCTTGGATTGTTAGAAGCTGTTAAGTTTGAAGGTAAACCATTGTTGTAGAAATCGTTAACCAGCTCTGAGAATTGAGCAAACATGAGCTTCCCAATCGCTGCAACCGCCAAACGCGTGTTGTCCATCGAAACTCCGATTGGTGTCCCCTGAAAACACACAGAGGTCTTGAGATTCATGGAGCTTGAAACAATTGTACGAAATAATACACATATTTTTTAAAATTATTTTTACATATATTAGCCGAAACCAATATTTCATTTGACTATGCTTCGGCCATACTATATAGGGGATATATGCTTTTTAAATTGTTTTTATAAATATTAGCCGAAACCAATATTTATATATATTTTTAAAATCTTTTTTATATATTAGTTGAAGCTAATGTTTCATTCCACTATGCCAAGAACAGGCCATACCTGGAAGTTACCACCGTGAATGGCTTTGTTCCTAGAAACGTCGATCAACGGATTATCATTAACGGAGTTAATCTCACGTTCGATCGATTTCGTCGCGTAACGGATCACCTCTATCTGAGGACCAAGCCATTGAGGAGACGTGCGTAGTGCGTAACGGTCTTGTTTAGGTTTCTGCAACGGATCCATCTCGTGAAGCTTTTGAGCTAACTTCATATACGAGCTCCCATCGAGGATATGCTCCATGATCGCCGCCGCTTCGATTTGTCCGGGGTGATGTTTGAGCCTGTGAGTCAAATGATCGGTGAACTCCGGCTTCCCGCTCATCACCTCCGCGAAGATCGCCGATAAAACCTCCGCTAAAACCGACTGAACATTCGCTTCGAATAGAACCATCGACGCCATGCCGGAACCAACCGCCGTGCCGTTGACGAGCGCGAGGCCTTCCTTAGGCTGGAGATCGAAGAATCCGGAAGTGATTCCGGCTTTTTTGAAAGCTTCCTCGGCGGTTAGGGATTCACCGTTGGGACCGGTGGCTTTGGAGTTGGGACGGCCGGTGAGGAGACCTGCGATGTAGGAGAGGGGGACGAGATCGCCGGAGGCGGTTATGGTTCCACGGAGGGGGAGAGATGGAGAGATGTTGTGGTTGAGGAGGCTGGTGATCGCTTCGAGGATTTCGAATCGGATCCCGGAGTATCCTTGGAGGAGTGTGTTGACTCGGACGAGCATGGCGGCTCTTGTGGCGGATTCCGGTAGCGTGTGGCATGTGTCCTTCGTGTTCCCGAATATTCCGGCGTTCAAAAATCTGTAACGGAGCAAACGGATACATTTAATTTTTTTTTTTTGTTTTTGTTTTTTTTGTAACACGGATGCATTTAATTAAAATTATATTAATTTACTTTCGGAGGAGACCCGACCCGAGTCACTGACCCGGCGTGTTTCCCATGCAAATGAAATGATGGTGCTCATTAAATTAAAAACGTTGTCCTCATGAGTATAGTCTGTGCCAATTAACCGCTTAATTCACTAAATTAATATTTCTCTAATTCTATCCAAACTTTTATAAAATGAAAAGTAAAAGTAAAATAATACTCGTTTCATATGGTAGAGTATCTGGCAATAATCCACTTAATACTAAATTACTTAATTAATATTTCTCAGATTAACCAAAATTTAATAAATGAAGACAGAAAATATAAGAAAGTTTGATTTCATGCTCTAGTTAGTATTTTGTCATAACTCTTCATTAAAACATGATCTTAATAACATTAATTAGTTACCTGATGAGTTCCGTCTGCAATGCGGCACCGTTTTTAGTTCTCCGGTGAGAGGTAGCTCCAAACCCGGTGGTGACACCGTAACTATCAGTACCTTTGCCCATACTTTCCATAACCCAGTCACTGCTAGCTTTCACGCCAGCTCTCGAAGCCTCCGCTAGCTCAACCTTAACCCCACCGCCAACGTTGGAGATCGCCGCCACTTGTCCGATCGTCAGCGTCTCTCCTCCGAGATTGACCAAAGGCCTACGGTACTCCTCAACCATCCTCTTCACCTCATCCAAATGGCTCCCTTTCATCTGCTCCGCCGCAGCACCCCAGTTCAACGGATCTGCCGCCACAGCCACGTTCGTCTTCTCTACTCTCTCGCACAACATAGCTTCGGTGTTGTCTTGTTGGTGAAATGATCTGTTAGTCTGATCCATTGGTTTCGAATTTTTGTTTGGTAAGTAAGGATCAATCTTCTGATTTGTTGGTGAAGGAAGAGAGAGAGCTTTTTGACTTGTTGGTGAAGTAATTTGGAGTTTGTGTTCCTGAGGAAAATGAGAAGGAGAAGAGTTGTTTAAATAAGGAGACGATGTAGTAGTAGTGTTTGATGTTAGGTAAGGACAAGAAAGAAAAGAGAAGAGAATAAGCTTTTACCTAGATTACCAAAAAAAAACAAGCTTTTATCTATGGGTATTTTTAGGGTTGGGCAATCGGGGTCCCAATCGGGTATCGGTTCGGGTTCATTCAGGTTTCGGGTTTTCGGGTTCATGAATTTCAGCCCCATTCGGATATTATAAAAATTCGGGTCGGATTCGGTTCGGGTTTAGTCGGGTTCGGTTCGGATTTAGTAACATGTCCAAGATCCGGTTGAATCCGAAATAGTTTCGGTTTCGGATACTAATCGGGTTATCGGTTCTAAAAATACTAATTTATCTATTATATTAAAAGAGAAGTCATGACTTACTTCATGTGTGATATTTTAGTTTGGACCATCTTTAGAGTTTTATAAAATTTTACATAACATTATAATATCTTTTCATATCTTTAATTTTTTGTTTGAAATACAAATAAATAGTTTTAAGAAAATTCTAACAAAATCTTTTAGAATCTTTTTCAAATATAGTTTCAAAAATTATTTGATTAAATTTTTAATTATCAGAAAATATAATTAAAATTTTAATTG